AAAAAAAAACAGTCAAAATCAGTTTTCGCATAGGATTTAGTAGGTAATTACTAGCGAGGTAGAAGTAGAAGTGCGGCCAGAAGCATGAATACATAAGATAATTTAGAGGCGTACAAATTAGTTAGCTTGGAGTATGATTTTTGCTTGATCGAAGACCTAATCACTTCCATGACCCTTTTATCATTAACGCAAGCAGAAGATTGTTCAAGGCTGTTAGTATTCTCCTCAGAATGGAGGTAGCTAGCACAAAATTCGTTTCAGTTCTACTTCTGCTTATCGAGCCACTCTAAGCACATTTTTTCACAAGATAACACTGGAAGCTTTTCGAGAATTGTTTATTGTATACCTCTGCACTAACCTTTTTGGTGAATGTATGCGCTCCATATTCGTCGTTGGATAGATCGACTTCGCCATCCTTATTTCTAGTAAAACTTCGAGAGGCTGGGATTGGCGGTGCTCCAGCAAGAATTGTGCTCTCATCAGCAGTGTTCTGAAAAGAAGAAATTTTTGACAGTATCACAGAAAATGCTTTTTTCAGACTCACTATGGTAATGTAACGATAAAAATGTTTAGAACTAGATGAACTTGATGATGTAGTTGTAGACATACACTCTTGGATTCGAGTCAAGCTACCGATTAGTAGGGTGTGTAATAAGAAAATGAGCAATACTCATAGATGAAAACATGCAGAGAGGTTAACAGTTGCAGGCTGCTGATGATAACGTGAAATCCCGATAAGGTGTGAATAGATCTTATAACTAGCTCTTCCTGGTATTTCATGATGAGATATGGAAATGGATTGAACTTTAATCTCGTTAAACGACAAAAAAATCTACTGCTTGACTTAATTGAATTCAAATTCGTAAGTCACAATCTCCCTTTGAGAAGTACGAAATAACGAAACCTATTCAGATAGACTCACAATAGTGGAACACAAAGAAGACTCATCCGTCATTACGTGAGTGTCAGATATCGGTTGAGCAAAAGTTATTCGGCGCGTCGTTTCTTTGACAGTTTCAAGCTTCTGAGGAGCTAAAACTGGATCTTTAAGCATATATACTTTGCGCTTGATAATTTGCCATTGAAAAGCATGCTTACTTTTGTTACAAGTTACTGTGACAGGTTTAAGAGGTGAAGGTTCTTTGTTTGGTGATTTGGCAGTATTTGTGGTCTTCAGCTGAGCCATACCAGCAGGAGTACACAGTACAGAAGGTCTAGTCTGAAAAGAAACAAAAATGGAGAAGAAGAATCACTTCTTTCTAGCCGTACCTCTCCCATGCTAAGCCTTGGAGACACTCCTCTCATATAAGCTTCCTTCGGTTTCAATGCCGGAGGATGCCAGTTCTGATCAATCTCAAATTGTTCGTATTCTGCTGCAAGCTCTGAAAACCGCGATTTCATTCTTGACGGTGTCTTCGCTGGCGACGATGGCTTGTCCGCTCGGGTGCATACAGCGTTGTTGGTTTTATTTTTGAGCGGTGATACCTTAAAGTATTTCTCTTCATTTCTCTAACACCAAAAGCTTAAAATTTTGAAAGCGAGATAATCATGGATTAGACCCCTCATCTACAAACAGATTCTTGTAAACCTATTTCGAAAAGCAAACAGCGTTTTCCCTACTTACTCCTAAAGAATTGTAAACATCCAGCTGAAGGTTAACAGGAAATAACGTTAGCATGAAAAATGATTCACAACAACTGCGCAAAACCAAAAACAAGATGACTCACAGAAGGCACATCGACAGGCATCTCATTGCCGGCACTTCCTGACACATCTGAATTAATTTGTGTGAAAACGTCCCAAAAAGATGTTGAGGGAAGCATAAAGAATCAAAGTGTAGTTAAGCTATAATTGTATTACCTTCACTTTTTTCGAGAGGATTCTTAATTGTGGGAACGTTTTCGTTTTCCTGCTCCATGGAAGCGCTCAATTCCATGTTTCTTTCACGTACTCGCTCCATGATGCGCTGAAAAATCTCAATATAGCTATATAAAGAGGCAGTCTGACAAATTGGCACATGGGCCGATTAGTTCTTATTTCGCATTCGGCAACAAGTGTAATTAGATCTATGAGAATAATGCTCCAAAAGAACACGCCTGAAAGTTTTTGAACGTGATGATATTAAAGAAATCAGAGAGTGAATATGAATTAAGTGAACTGTGGTCCCCGCATGAGGGCCAATTCATAGAACCACAAAGTTGATAAAAAGCTGTGATTCGTTCTCCGGTTAACTCAGCAAAATAAAGAGAAAATAAAGTGAAGTCTGCTAGTTATGCTACTACTGTAAAATGCCTGCGGAAAAGAAAATAAGGCAAAAAATTCAGAAACGGATGAAAGTGAAGTGGAAAAGGGATGGAACAGAATTCAAAGCCATGAATCATAAATGAATAATCCAAAAAAAGCTGGAATAACTATAGAGAAAAATCAAACTTTCATCTACTTCTACAATCTGCACTTCTGTTTACGACGTCTAACGTATGAGCATCCTTTACACTGATTTAAGCATGCTCTTTTTTCTTTTAATCTACATTGCCCGCTATTGAATGAATTCTTGAAGAAACCAAACTCACCTCTGCGCTTTCATTCACAGAATCCATCTCCAAAATTTCTTATGCTCTGACTACTCAAAGTACGACAGTGGACGGTGTTACTGAAAAAATTCAGAATTGTAGCGAATACAAGCAACTGAACCTGAACTTCGCCATCAACTATACTAAACGGAGGTTCAGTTACTTAACTGATAAGGAGATTTAAGGTCAACAGCTGTTTCAGTTGAAAATTCAAAAGATGTTCGTTGGCGCGTGACGCCGACGTAGGCGTGGCTAACGCTTTCGAACTCAGCGTCCTTGGAGCGCACTATCGCATTCGAGTTGTCATCGCGATTTTTCAACATTAGGGCGATCATTGTGGAATCATAAACGTAGAAGATTAGCTCTCGGCCAACTAGCAATAAAGGGGAAATTATTTT